GCGGATGTCTACACGAGTCCCAACCTTAAGACCTGAGAGTGCACAGCATTGACTGAATCTGGCACTTCCTGCAAAGATCTCGAGAACGTGGATCTTTCCTTTACGTACACAATTCCAGTGTGCTTGTTCAGGAACGGATGTGAGGTCCTCGACGAACATGTTCTCTGCCGGATGAGGTGCTGCAGGCTTGGGAGTTGTCTTTCCCGCGATGCGTAATGGCGCTGAGGATTTTGGCTTAGGAGCTGGTGCGGATAACTCCTTCTTCTTGATATCAGCAGAGGAGCCGGCTTGCTCCTTCTGCAGGGATTCTCGCTCTTCGGGCAATGGAAGATCAATTCCAGGTTTCTTTGGAGGGATGGTTTCATCCTTTCTGACCGTGCTTCCATCGGAACGGATCTTGGATTTGTCTGCCTGCCAGTAAAATACCTTGTCCTTCACCTGAAGAGGCTTAGAACTCGTTCGGAGAGTTTGAGCAAGGTCTCGTCGGATGTCTTCGGATTGACGCGCTTCTTGGAATGCTTGCTTGGACAGCTGCTTGATCTGGATGGCTGTCATCTCCTCCTCATTCCTGTCAATCGTCAACTGAGTTGGTGTTGCGACATCAAGTTGGGTGAGATCTGCTGGTCGTCTTCCGAACGCGAGCTCTAATTGTGTTACACCCCCGTAGGTGACAGTCTGATCCCTGACAGTTGCAGCTGCCTTCACCAGCTGTCTATATGTCACTTTCTTCAGTGTGGCAGGTGCTGCGCCTGCCTTGTTGGAACTGAGCATGATCTTGAGTTGCGCCTTCAGGAGTCGAACTGCAGCTTCAGCTCGGTTTGGCCATGGTGTGTTCGGTCCCAATGATATCGGTGTGATGTCAAGGGATTGATAGAAATGTTCCCATGTCTCCGTCATGAAGGCTTGATCTGCGACAACTGATTTGGGCTGCAAATGGCACTGGTCAAAATAGTTCCTGAGGACAGTGATGTTCTCGACTTCTTGCGTAGTTCTCACTGCCTCTGCAGTGAGCAATGTTGTTGCTCCATCCAGGATGACAAAAACAAAGATGTGTTCTCCTGTTCCAAGAGGAACTTGACAGTGATCAATGAATGTCATGTCACCAAAGGTGTCCGCTCGAAGTCCACTCGTCTTGCTTCGTGATGGTGCATGTTTTGCCGCTTGGCAACTTCACATTCACTCCTGATTTTGCCAAATAGATCGAATGTTGATTTCGGCAAATGAAGTGAGCGAGCTCTAAATCGAAATTGATCTGTTGTCATGTGGTGATGCTGGAGGTGGAGCTTCTTCAACTCTTCGGGATTTGAGAATCGCTTGTGGGTTCTGCCTAGTGCAAGCGGAAGCGTTGTTGGCTCTTCTGAGGATGGTGCGAAAGGATCTGGCTCAATGGTCGACCGGCCCTTCTTGTCGATGATCCTGTCTGCTGCCGATCCTGAGCCTGCTTCTTCGTCCTTAAGCGAATTGTCCGCGAAGGTGAAAATGGTCTTACCTATCCACAGGTGAACCATTGGTTTGTTTGCCTGAAGTCTCCAATTGTCTTCTAGGACGTCTGGATCTCCACCTTCGGACGCATCAATGATTTCCGTAGTACGCTCTCGGCTGATGTTATCCGGATTGATTGGACATTCCTTGGCTCCATTTGGTGTGAACAGTGCCTTTCGAGGCGTGATGCGCACACGGATGAGCTGCTTGTTCTTCTTGTCAAGGATCCAATGGTCCTGCTTCTGAGGCCCAATGATTTTAGGAGTTGCTAGGTCCTCCTTCGTCTCGGATGATTTTGCTGCACAAACAGTTTCACTCTTGGAGATATCCCCGGAGGGAAACTTTATGCTGTTGTCATCATCGTAGACGTAGTTGGAGAGGCCCTTATGAGCATGCGCCTTCACTCTTGCAACTCCAGCGAGATCGACGAGTGCATGTCCTGTACCGGATACCGGAACCGCTTGACGGTTCATGCCACAAGCCTCGCATGTGATCTTGTCACATTGAGGTGTGTGCTCTATGGTCATGTAGAGGTTCCGCATCTGGCTGATGCTGAGAAGGATCGGTACAGTTCCTTGTTCAAGGGCGTCGATGTTGGTACTGCATGGAGGAGTTGTGTGATATCGAAGATGTAGGGTCCAATTTACCCTGGCGGTCTCTCCATTTGCAAAAGTGAACTTGGTCTCGGCCGGGATGTACTGATAGGATATGATGTCCTTCATTGGTTCGATGGCCTGAGTAAAACGCTGGATTGCATGCCAGCTGCCCATGGATCTGGCGCATCCGTTGTCCAGGATCGCATAGGTCGGATTGCGCTGAGGGCTGATGACAGGCGCCATCAGCTTTGTTGCCAAAAGGCTGTGATTTGTTGTGACGGACAAATTGTGTTCTGAAACTGCATCTGATTGGGTCAGCTTCCTCTTTCTCATGATGCTCATATGCGTCATGGAATGCCATTAGCGCTTGTCCTGCGCTGGATGTCTCATGGGATGAGTACCAGCCTTGTTCGTTCCATGTCCATGATTGATCCCAATCTTGGTCTGTCCAACCGGCATAGGTAGGCTCTGTGGATGGTGCAGTCTGCTGGATGGCGGGCTGCTCCTCCGTCTTCTCTGTGATGGCTGCGAACGTCTTTGATTTTCCTTTGTCATGTCCGCCATTTCCTTTGCCATTCTCATAGGATGGATAACCTTTGTTTCCATCATAGGGATATTGGAATTTTGATTTTCCTTTCTTTCCCTTCTTTCCTTTGCCTTTTCCCCAATATGCCTGGTCGTAGGGATCATAGTTCTCATTGGCCATATTGGCCTTCCCGCCAGAACCGCTTTTTCTGAAGGGTTTCAAGCCACTGTTGGAAAGCCACCTCGTTGGTGACTGCCCTTTTTGTTTCCTGATTTTCCTTTTCCTTTTCTCTTCTTGAATCTGAAATTCCGCCCTGACACTTTTCTTGCTATGAACGCATCGTTCTCCTCGAGGACCCAGAATGTCTCTTCATCGTTGTTTGACATGAATCCTTCAAGTCCTTCCTCATCCTCAACCCATATTCACCTTGTTCGATGATGAAGAATGTGTTGCTTCGGTTGCCTCCTTGAGGTCGGATGGATGGATCTTGAATGGATGTCCTGGTCGTGATGAAGAGTTCATGGTAGTGCGTCTTCAGCATCTCATAGGAGTAGTTCTCTAGTGAAATGTTTCTCAATGACCTTGCACTTGTCAGTCTTTCTCTTTGCTGGTCTGACAATTCACTTTGAATAATGAAAAACTGTGCAATGAGATTATCCCCGAAGGGAAATGCGTCCCGCTGTCTGTCCTGCATTCCCGTGATATACTGTCTGAGGACTGTCGGATCTTCCTCATTGAGCAGGACTGGAGGCGGTGCTCGAACACCAGCTGCTTGCTGATGTCGAGCAATTGTTCTTGCATTTGCGTCCTGTACGGACTGTCGAAATGATGGGGACTGTGCCGTGAAAACTGGCATCAAGTCCATCCATGCTGCCTTCAATCTCATGAGAAGGATTTCGAATTTTGAGGTAAAAATGAGGAACTCTTGGTTCTGCCTTCTATGATTGAAGAAACTGAGGAGCCTGTACAGATACACGTTGGTCGCACCTTTCAAAAAGTACTTCTTCAGCGTGTTCTTGAAGTAGTTGACTCCTTCATCAGGATATTGCAAAAGGTCATTTTGGAGGACTGCCTTATACATATATGCATCTCCTGTTAGTCTGCTTTTGAGCAGAGGTCCTCTCTTGGGTGCTTCCACTGTTGTGATTGTCACCCAGACGTCCACGAGTTCTTCATACCTAAACCAGCTGACTTTTCCGTCGTACGATGGCGGCTTGGCGGTCATCGATAAATTGAGTGTTTCCTCCGTATAGCCTGTGGGTTTGGCCATACAATAGGCTTCCATGAAGCCTTCTCCATCGGATGACATCTTCCCTTGGATCTCTGCGGAAAACCTGCTCCGCTATCTATTCCGGAGAGAGTCCAATATGCCAATATGGATGATTGGAGGATGGATTGTCCCTGGTGGCGTGTATTGTCTTTTATTCCTGTAAGTGGACTGCAAGCCTTTGTACTGCTATCGCATGAATGCAATACGCTATATACAAGAGGGCCTTGAGCCAAATGTGTAACGGCGTGTGTGGAAAGGTCAATTGGTGTAACCAAAAGCAACACAGGGGGGGGGGGGTGAGACAGGGGGAGGGTTGAGGGGTCGAACATGGGCCCAAGATCCGGCTCCCGAGTTCTGCAACATCTCGGCGGACAGTCTCTTGTTTCATGCCAATCCGTGCAAACAAGGACACATCGTGACACAACATACTGGGTTGCTCGAAGTCCATGGTTCGACTCGATACAGTTTTGCCCGACGGCTTCACCTGCACTGTAGTGCCAACTTTCAATGGCGTCCAATAGGAAAGCCAACACTACGAACAGACAGTACGGCAAAATAAGCTTGGAACGGTTGTTGGATGTTTTTCAGAACTTGGGATCAATCAATACATGTCTCACGTTCGTGATCAAATCGAGCTTCTTAAATGGCGGGCGGTGCCAAAGGTTGGTTTGGGAAGGCATGGGTCGAGGTGCTCTGACTTGACTTGGCTGTCTGGAAATGCTGGTTCTGATTGGTTGTCGGAGGAAAAACTTAAATATCAGAGGACCGGTCACACAAATATGTTTTGCAGTGGGTAACCGTGGATAAGCTCATGGCGCAGTGTGTTGCGTAATGAAGGGCTGTGACATATCATCTGCGCGTCTCCCGTTCAATGCCACCTAAACTGTACACCCCTTCCACTGCTTGCATGTCTCCATGTGCACAGTGCAGAATTGGGCGTCAGCAAAAACACCTCTCCCTTGCTTGCTGGTGCTCAGTCGGGAATGCGGGAATGAACCCAAAAATCCCCTTCAATTGAACCACAAACTAGGGATGATTTGTAGTCATTCCATGTCTCATTCCCTGCCTATGGCACCAAGCAAAGCTCTCGCCATTTGGAGTCGGTGCAAATCTCTGAGGGACTGGCCAGGCCCGTGCGAACCTCAGCACCGGACCCATTTCGGGAAGGCCCAGGAACCACAAGCTACATGAACCAACTGAACCGCATGCCTCGTTCAGACTTAACTCCAAGCTTAACTTCGTTGCATTCTGTCCCGATGCTGACCTCTTGCGCTTTAGTCGCACATGGGCCCCGGACGAAGGTGTCGCTGGCCACTTGCCCCGGCTTCCGCTGCAGCAGTGCCTCCGAGCGCGCCAACTCAGCCGAGTCAACTGGGAACGACGTCTAGCTTTGGCCGATGAAAGAAGGCAAGCTGCAGAAATATTCCTGAGTGTCAAAGATGAAGCACAGTGCAGAAAGTTCTACAACTTGCCTTCATCCCTCAAAAGTGTCGAGCTGCTTCCTGTCGTTCTGATGGAAATTGGCTTCATTGCACACGTGTGCTCACACTGGGGCCACGTGTGAGGAGAGCAAGGCACCTAGGGAGGGTGGTAGATTCAGCTAGATCCATGACAAGGCACCCCGCACATGTACCCGCACGACCAGAGTGTTTGCGCCCCCGGTTGCGCTGCATGCGCAACTTAGTAACTTCTGTATTCCCAACATGACGTCCGCGTCCCACTATCTATTTTCATGAAGACGAAGCCCCAAATGCTTGCATCCCCCTTCCCCCCTGAAGGCAACACAACGGCGATCCTTCCCCTGAATGCGCTGAGGAACACGATCCTCTTTTTCACAAAGAACACATACTCTGTTCGGGCAGTCACAGAAGGCTACAAGCTTCATGAGGCAACTGCGGGGATCGATCGCTAGAAGTGTTGCAGAATGTCAAATATGTGAACATGCAACGGCGCCGAACAACATTTCCAAAATTGTTCATTACATGAGAAGAATTGGAGCAGTGGATGTGTCTTGTGTCCGATTTAACTTGATGCCATTTACAGTTAGTTTAGTCCTGCTAAACTTATTGAACCTACAGTATATCCACGAATGGCCTTGCCTTTTTCATCCTTGAGCAAACCTAGGATTAAAAGATTGCGCCAAAGAATGACTTGCAAACATTGGTCAATTGAAAGCAGCGCTGTGATTTCATGTCACTATCAAAGGTGGCATTTAAAACTAAGACGTTGCTGTCAATGCTATGAGATTCCATGCATCTTCAGCCAAAACTGCAGCGTGGCACAGGCAGCTGCAGTTTAACCCCTCTCTGGCAGGAATGATTGTCAGGATTGGAATTTTACACAGCCTTGGCATCAAATTAGATCATCCAACAGCTCATTACACGTTGATATTTCATTACCGACAAATGCAAAGACCACATCCGGTAAAAAAGTGGCCTGCGCACAACTCCGTCGCACGCCTTGGCAAGCGCAAAAGCAGCCTTGTTGCCGGCGGCCTGGCCGGTTCTCTGCTCGGCAACGCTTCATCCTAGAGCATTGCACAAAATTGACGCCAAATCCCAAAGCGGTCAACCAATGAGCAGCAAACCTTGCAGTTGCAAAATTAAGGCAATAACTTGCGGCAAACGGATAAAGGACAGGTGCAGACTCGTTTTCCGCCCGGAAACAAAAACTTGCAACTCGACTCAATCTCCAAATCGCCAACCACCATCAAGCGCGTCGCTCCAAGCGAGCCTCTCATGATCGCACGCAGCTTTAAACGCCACCTGCCTTGTCCCAGCAACATCGTCTTGACATGAAGCTAAAGTCTACCTTGAACTTAGCAATGATTCGTAGTCCTTTCAGGAGTATGGGTTGGCATGAACCTGAAAGCGTGAAGACAAAGGAGTTGGGTCACCGGCCTGTCCCAGGTGGGCAATGGACTCTGCAGCTCCCCATCGGATGCCAGCATCCAGGTCGGTCCTGGACGAGTTTCCGGTCGATGTGCAAAGGTCTTGGTGCTTCGGCCAGGACAAGCCATTCTCTGATCCAACCATCGGTCCCTTGGACCATACCGAGCTTTTGGGCGCAGCCAACTCGGGCTTGGAGGGAAATGGTTTTGAACCGCTCAGAACCCAAAGTGGAAGATTGCCCAGATGACGTGTAGCTTGAACGCTGCTGTAGCTGAGCTCAGCTCTTGTCCTTCCTGTTTCAGTCGCTGTGATGTGCAAAAACAATGGGAGGGATAGCCTCTCCCATCGCACTGAATTGTCATGGCGCCCAAACTTCTGCAGCTCTGCTGTTACAGGCCCGCGCGGCTGTTGTGAGCAATGCTTGAGAAGCACCACCAAGGCTCGGCTCGCATCCAGATTCTGATGGCTTTGCCCTTCCTCTTTTCAGTCCGGCTTGGATTCAACGCCCGGCCGCTCCTCGCCAGCGCCTCACTCAGGACTTCAGCCGCCGAGGGGGCCGACTCCTCCAGCTGGCCCAGCCTGGACAAGCCGCAACCCGACCAATTCCGCCTAGAGTTCTGGAGGTGTGATGCTTTTCTTTTTGGTGTGTTTGCTCTTGTTTGGGTGGACCCCCTAAAATGGTGTTGCTCCTTTCATGTTCCTCTTTAAATTCTTAAAACCAACCCAAAGGGGGTTCACCAAAACAAGACATACCGATGTGAGCTGTTCCGTATTTACATGGTCTGGATGCTATCCAAGGTCTATTCAGTTTGTGAGGTGTACTGCTCAGGAGAACATCGGGAAGGGTTTCCGGGAAGGATGATCAGAAAGCTCTGTCAGCTTTTCAAAAAAGCCGCCGGAGTATCACAGTCTCAGAGTTCACAATCTTGTTGAGGCAGGGCGAGCAAAGACCCAACATAAGCACAGTAAGCACAACTTGAAAGCAATTCAAGGCTGCAAAATGTTCAGTGCCAATCTGGAATAAAGCATTGGGTTGCGGCGGAACACTCCTGTGAAGTCGTCGAAAGTCCTTGTGCAATGTCCTGTGCATGTTTTGTTGCAATTGGATTCAGGAGTTGGCACAGGTACAAGAAATACCATGTTCGCTGAGCTCCTTCGGAGCACCTCAAATCACTGCCGTGCCCTGCTTCCGACATATTGCTCCTTCTGTGTGCTGGCGCCGGAGAACGGATCGACCACAAGGACGAGCTCGCGAGAACCTTTCTTTCTCTTGCCCCGGATCGCAAGCGGAGTCCGCTTGAGCTCTCCCACAATGCCTCCCATCCCTGCTCTTGCTCTGGCGCGCCGAGGGATCACTCCAAAAGACACTTTGGAATGCGAGGAGGAAAAGACTGGCTGAGTTCCTACCAATCCGTGCACAAACTGTTCAATTGACTTCGCGCTCCACCTGTTTCCAGTCGAAATTTTGCAATTCTTATTGCATATTTGTGAGCCTTCACAAATGCTATCGATGAGCAAGGATGTCCGGCCCCTCAAGTAAATGCCACGCGCATAGGACTGTGGTTCGGCCTCGATGGCGAGGTAAGTAAGCATTGCCCAGCTATCAACAAGAAACACGTAGCTGTTGCTGGTAGCAACCCCAACCCACAGTCTCAGCGGGTGAGCAACTCAGGGGTGTGAAGGATCAATTGGCCCACTCAGTTTGCACAACTCTCCGCTCTGTCACGCGTTCGTTCGGGCAATGGACGCAATCCCCTAGGTTCCACTATTTGTGACAGGAGTCGCAAATCAGCTTCAAGAATTGGCATCGAAACAAGTCAGAACTCAAAAAAATGAATGCCATTCTTTGATCATCGATTCCATTAATTAACACCGTCGATGTCGTCAAGCGCAGCCATGGCAGCCGCCAAAAGCGCCACCAGCAGCAACAACAAAAGAAGAACCATGCCGGCCTTCAAATATCATCATGATGCTCCACATCAGGCTTTGGGGAGCTTGTCCAACGGTGCGCGGCAGTTGAACCAATTTCCTTTGCTAAAGTTCTTGAGATTCGTGGTGTCACTTGAATTCTGGAGGCATGCACTGCCCACTATACTCATCAGTGTCCACGCCAAACTTTTCGATGAGCTGCTCCGTGCGGATGCACATGCCCTCGCCTTGGTACGGGGAACGCCGTTGAAAAAAAAAGGCCGCGCTGTCCGAGAACAAAAAGGGAAGAAGAAACAAACAAGTTTAAAAACAAAAAGAATAGAAGAAAACATGGTCTCTCAGCCCTCGCCTTGGCATTGGGCGTCAACTCGAGTTGGCAACGCTCTTGTCAAAATGAGAATGTCGAGATTCGAGGGCATGCTTCTCTAATGCCACCGCAGATGTCAAGCAAACGGCAAAGACGTGCATGTCATAAAGTCTCAAAGCGATTGTTCGACACTGACCTATCAAACTATCCGACTGAACCCCTCTAGTGGCTCAAGCAAGTCTCCAGCGGCCAGGTTTGGGTTCAAGGAACACACTGGAAAACAAGGGCGTGCAGTTTGATCAAAACAAAGGCTAATCTGCAAAACCAAACTCTGTTGAAAGATAGGAAGCCGTCCAATGCACCACTAGCTGATTGCCTGATGTTCAGCTCCAGATCAAAATCCATTCTGCAGAGTTGCCAAGCGTATGCAGTGCCTCCATGCAGAGGCGCTTCCGCTTCTTCCAGGCTCGGTGCACAGTCTGGAAATTCCCTTCCACCGCCAGCACCTCACCTTGGCTGAAACATGTCTCAGGACCAATGGCCAGCCCCAATCCACCCAATCCACCCAAACCACTCCAAGCCCCAACCACCCCACCCAATCCACCCAATCCACCCAAACCACCCAATCCACCCAAACCACTCCAAGCCCCAACCACCCAATCCACCCAAACCACCCAAACCACCCAAACCACTCCAAGCCCCAACCGCCCAATCCACCCAAACCACCCAAACCACCCAAACCACTCCAAGCCCCAACCACCCAATCCACCCAAACCACCCAATCCACCCAATCCACCCAAACCACCCAATCCACCCAATCCACCCAAACCACCCAATCCACCCAATCCACCCAAACCACCCAATCCACCCAATCCACCCAAACCACCCAATCCACCCAAACCACTCCAAGCCCCAACCATCCAATCCACCCAAACCACCCAAACCACCCAAACCACTCCAAGCGCCAACCACCCAATCCACCCAAACCACCCAATCCACCCAATCCACCCAAACCACCCAATCCACCCAATCCACCCAAACCACCCAATCCACCCAAACCACTCCAAGCCACCAACCACCCAATCCACCCATATCACACAAACCACCCAAACCACTCCAAGCCCCAACCACCCAATCCACCCAATCCACCCAATCCACCCAATCCACCCAAACCACCCAATCCACCCAATCCACCCAAACCACCCAATCCACCCAATCCACCCAAACCACCCAATCCACCCATTCCACCCAAACCACCCAATCCACCCAAACCACTCCAAGCCCCAACCACCCAATCCACCCAAACCACCCAATCCACCCAATCCACCCAAACCACCCAATCCACCCAATCCACCCAAACCACCCAATCCACCCAAACCACTCCAAGCCCCAACCACCCAAACCACCCAAACCACCCAAACCACCCAAACCACTCCAAGCCCCAACCACCCAATCCACCCAAACCACCCACCCAAACCACTCCAAGCCACAACCACCCAATCCACCCAAACCACCCAATCCACCCCTATCACACCCAATCCACCCAAACCACTCCAAGCCCCAACCACCCAATCCACCCATATCACACCCACCACCCAAACCACTCCAAGCCCCAACCACCCAAACCAACCCAACCACCCAATCCACCCCAACCACAGAATCCACCCAAACCACCCATATCACACCCACCACCCAAACCACTCCAAGCCCCAACCACCCAATCCACCCAAACCACCCAATCCACCCCAACCACCCAATCCACCCCAACCACCAAAACCACCCAAACCACCCATATCACACCCACCACCCAAACCACTCCAAGCCCCAACCACGCAAACCACCCAATCCACCCAATCCACCCCAACCACCATATCACACCCAATCCACCCATATCACACCCAATCCACCCAAACCACTCCAAGCCCCAACCACCCAATCCACCCAAACCACCAAATCCACCAAATCCACCCAATCCACCCAAACCACCCAATCCACCCATATCACACCCACCAAACCACTCCAAGCCCCAACCACCCAATCCCAAACCACCCAAACCACCCAATCCACCCAAACCACCCATATCACACCCACCACCCAAACCACTCCAAGCCCCAACCACCCAATCCACCCAAACCACCCAATCCACCCAATCCACCCAATCCACCCAAACCACCCAAACCACCCATATCACACCCACCACCCAAACCACTCCAAGCCCCAACCACCCAAACCACCCCAACCACCCAATCCACCCCAACCACCCAAACCACCCAATCCACCCAAACCACTCCAAGCCCCAACCACCCAATCCACCCAAACCACCCAAACCACCCAATCCACCCATATCACACCCACCACCCAAACCACTCCAAGCCCCAACCACCCAAACCACCCCAACCACCCAATCCACCCCAACCACCCAAACCACCCAATCCACCCATATCACACCCACCACCCAAACCACTCCAAGCCCCAACCACCCAAACCACCCCAACCACCCAATCCACCCCAACCACCCAAACCACCCATATCACACCCACCACCCAAACCACTCCAAGCCCCAACCACCCAATCCACCCAAACCACCCAATCCACCCCAACCACCCAAACCACCCAAACCACCCATATCACACCCACCACCCAAACCACTCCAAGCCCCAACCACCCAATCCACCCAAACCACCCAATCCACCCATATCACACCCAATCCACCCATATCACACCCAATCCACCCAAACCACTCCAAGCCCCAACCACCCAATCCACCCAAACCACCAAATCCACCCAATCCACCCAATCCACCCAAACCACCCATATCACCCCAATCCACCCCAACCACCCAATCCACCCAAACCACCCAAACCACCCATATCACACCCACCACCCAAACCACTCCAAGCCCCAACCACCCAATCCACCCAAACCACCCAAACCACCCAAACCACCCATATCACCCCTATCCCACCCACCACCCGAACCACTCCAAGCCCCAACCACCCAATCCACCCAAACCACCCAATCCACCCAATCCACCCAATCCACCCATATCACACCCAATCCACCCCAACCACTCCAAGCCCCAACCACCCAATCCACCCAACCACCCAATCCACCCAAACCACCCAAACCACCCATATCACACCCACCACCCAAACCACTCCAAGCCCCAACCACCCAATCCACCCAAACCACCCAAACCACCCAACCCACCCAAACCACCCATATCACACCCAATCCACCCAAACCACTCCAAGCACCAACCACCCAATCCACCCAAACCACCAAATCCACCAAATCCACCCAATCCACCCAATCCACCCATATCACACCCAATCCACCCAAACCACTCCAAGCCCCAACCACCCAATCCACCCAAACCACCAAATCCACCCAATCCACCCATATCACACCCACCACCCAAACCACTCCAAGCCCCAACCACCCAAACCACCCCAACCACCCAATCCACCCCAACCACCCAAACCACCAAATCCACCCATATCACACCCACCACCCAAACCACTCCAAGCCCCAACCACCCAATCCACCCAACCACCCAATCCACCCCAACCACCCAAACCACCCAATCCACCCATATCACACCCACCACCCAAACCACTCCAAGCCCCAACCACCCAAACCACCCCAACCACCCAATCCACCCCAACCACCCAAACCACCAATCCACCCATATCACACCCACCACCCAAACCACTCCAAGCCCCAACCACCCAAACCACCCCAATCCCCAACCACCCAAACCACCCAATCCACCCATATCACACCCACCACCCAAACCACTCCAAGCCCCAACCACCCAAACCACCCAATCCACCCAATCCACCCAATCCACCCAAACCACCCAAACCACCCAATCCCATATCACACCCACCACCCAAACCACTCCAAGCCCCAACCACCCAAACCACCCCAACCCAATCCACCCCAACCACCCAAACCACCCATTCCACCCATATCACACCCACCACCCAAACCACTCCAAGCCCCAACCACCCAATCCACCCCAACCACCCAAACCACCCAATCCACCCATATCACCACCACCAAGCCCCAACCACCCAAACCACCCAAACCACCCAAACCACCCATATCACACCCACCACCCAAACCACTCCAAGCCCCAACCACCCAAACCACCCAATCCACCCAAACCACCCAAACCACCCGATCCACCCCAACCACCCAAACCACCCAAACCACCCATATCACACCCACCACCCAATCCACCCAAACCACCCAAACCACCCAAATCACCCCAACCACCCAAACCACCCAAACCACCCAAACCACCCATCCACCCAAACCACCCAAACCACCCAAACCACCCAAACCACCCATCCACCCAAACCACCCAAACCACCCAAACCACCCAAATCACCCCAACCACCCAATCCACCCAATCCACCCAAACCACCCAAACCACCCAAACCACCCAAACCACCCAAACCACCCAACATCTTTAGACCTGAGCCCACTTCCAGCCCCCCGCCAAAGGCGCGCTCGTCCACGCGCTGGTCACCTTTTCCCCGCAGCTCCTCGGCGCGTTGCTCCAAGTCGCGAAGCTCCGCGGTGGTCTTCCGCGCCTCACGGAAAGGAAAAACAGAGGAAAAAAAGAGGAATGAACCCAGGGAGAGCAACAAAGCTGCCTAGAGCTGCAATTGGATGGCTTGAACCCGAAAGAAAGCTGCTTGAACCTGTAAGGTTTCCCACAAGCTGGTGCTCAGCATGGAATGAGCGAATGAACCCAGGCTTTGGTCCGCTTAAACGAAACCACCAGTTGGATGGTTTGTAGGGTCATTCTCTCATTCCCTACTGAGCACCTGCAAGCATACGTCCTTTCTTTTGGTGGGACCTTAGTTTTCCTTTTGGTTGTCCTTCAAAACCACAAAAAAGTATGTGCCCCCAAGAAAAAGCACCCGTATGGAAATAAAAGGAAGGGTCGAGATAAGATATGAATAGAATTGGAAAGATCCAAAGACATGCGGCGCCTTCGCTATTTGGTCTACCAGACGTTCAGAGGCAGAAGGGTGCGGTGGGTGTTTCGTGATCGGCATAACACTGCATACATAGTCCATCTGCATAGACTTGGAGGAGGGGGAAGACGTATCCTGTGCAAATGATCATACACTGAAATTCGCGAAAGGGCACGCTTCTGGCTTGCGAAGAAACATCCGGAGGGTGCCAAAAGCTGGCTTTTGATGAGCAAGAGCGCCAGAAAGGAATGCCGTTGTCTGAGCCCATCTCAGAGAACAAATCATGCCCTGCTCAGTTCAACTTCTCCCATGCTGGCAAGCGCTCTTATCTATCAAATGGTTCCCTGCCATGACAACAGTAGGGGAAATGGCAACGTCCATTCTCAACAATTTCTCTCTCTCGCTCTCGAGCAGAGATGCCTTACCCCCCGCCCGGTGATGGGCTTTGGGTCATGCAAGAACCTGCCTCCTTTGCAGCCGCATGCTTGCCCTCAACTTGAGCTAGGCGCTTCCGTGAGTCCTCCTGGGATGCAGAGGCACAGCCAAACCATGCCTGACACAGACAGGCAAGACCTGGGCAGGGCTTAATTCAAAGGTTGCTTTGGGGGTGGGCCCAAGTTGGTGCGAGGTTGGCTTGCAGCTAGGACGAAGTACACAACCTGCAAAGTGATCCTCCCGGACGTGGGCTGCAAGCAATCAGTTCCCCCCCCCCCTTGGTCATGTGTTCCACGGACAGCTCAGCTTGAATTTCCGTCAGCCACTTGACTGCGGCCAGAGCGGCGACGGTGCCTTTCACCTCTGTCCGCTTCTTGGATGCCTGGAGAGCGCAGGAACAAAGGCACGACTTCATAGCACAGAGCACTGTGTTTGAGCTTGCTCCGAAGCTTCTCGTCATAGATCTAGATGTTGGGCATGTACCCAAACAACATGATACTCAATTGCAGTTCAATTTTGGGGATGTGAGAGTTGGGTGCTCTGGCCAATGCCAGCACCTCGTCTACCTCTTTCTGCAGCAACTCTGCGTCGCCCCCCTGTGTCGCTTCCTGTGTCACCAAGTAGACCTGCAAGGGGCGAGTCATCGGTACATGGCACTTCAAGTCAGTGCAAAAGAGTCCAAGTGCAACCCAAGGCCAACACCTCACCCATCAAACGAATGCCATGTCTCATAGTGCAAGCAGCGCTTCAACATCACCCGACTATGGGAGGAAAGGCAGAGGCATCAAGACCGAAGACCTGTTCGGTGGCCTTCTGTGATACTACTTGTACTGCAGTCCTGCCAGAGCTTCATTGGCAAGTGGGATTTCTTGTGAAGCCAAGGAGTTTGTCACATGATTCATATTCTTTCCATATACAAACAAAAAGGTCCTGTTCCCATCCCGTGTCCGCAGCGCCTTGACCTTGCCGTACTCCTTCAGCAGCAGTTTCCCGTTTGCTGCCAAGGTGTCCATGAGGGTCTGAGCAGTTTGGGAGAACCCGATTCCGGCAGGGCCATGGAGCTTTGATAGGCGCATTGCTCAGCCTCCTTGGCCAATTGGCTCAACGCCCGGATGTGGTGCCGCGTAATGGGGAGTGGTAAACGAAGGAAGCTCATGTGACTGTTGCGCGCACCAGACTACGATGACCCTACGTGGTTCGCAAGTATGCATACCAATACACAACATCGACAATATGTTCAAGTTGGTGCTGCTCCTGAAGGGCACCGACTGGGATCCTTCAACACTAAACAAAAATAACAGAAGGCAGAAGCCGCCTGCCCAATGGGTGGTTACACGCCCGGGCCTGCACAGCGGCCTTCGGCACCTGGCCGTGGAGATTGTCGAAGACGTTCTGGGTGTTGTAGGGCCGGTTCTGCTGCCTTCGAAAGACTCGGCTTCCGATTTGCGCACTTCGAGGCTGGAAACCTTCACGGAGACGCTTTTCCCTTGGCATCTTGCTCCCATTTTGACGCCTGGGAGTATCCACTGCAAACGGAAGTTGGGCCATGAGACTTCTCCCTCTCTCGCTGTCAACCATGTGTAGCGTGGTGTAAACTGGGAGTTCAACTTGCATAGCTCAAGTGACAGCCTCATGGCCCCAAATCGGAGCGCCTCATGTACTCTAGCACTTTCGCCTCCATCTCCTCCTGCGAACAATGTCGCAACTGCACCTCGTCGTATGGAATCCGCTGGTGGCAGCGAAGGTCATGGGTGATTAGACGCTCCATGAGCGAGCAAGATCTCCAAACGGTTGAATTGTCATCCCAAAGGTTAAGCTATTCTACAGCCACTGCAGCCTAGCCATGCAGCCAAACATGTAGTGTCCACCACGAGTAGATATGCCAGCAATGCAGCCCTGCAGCATCCCCGCAGCTTTGCATGATTGCCGTGGTAGACTCATCATGTCGAGTCGAGACAATGTTGTTGCTTGCCTGACAAACATGCGCCCGCGTCTCGATTAGATAAAAGAGAAACTATAACTATTATTGTTGCAAACACGGTCGCCTAAGTGCAGAGCCCCCACAGCCCCACATTCTCCACTCCTTGGAAAGCTTCTTATCTGCCGTTGCCTTCGGCACCGCTGTTGCCTTGGGCGCCGCTTTGGCATCTGCCGGTGCCTTGGGCGCCGCTGTGGCATCTGCCGGTGCCTTGGGCGCTGCTTTGGCATCTGCCGGTGCCTTGGGCGCTGCTTTGGCATCCGCTTTTGAGGCAGCTTTTGCTACTGACTTGGGAGTAGCCTTTGCTTCCGCTTTGGGAGTGGCCTTTGCTTCTGCCTTGGCTTTCTTAGCAGGTGGCTTTGGCCTCGGAACAGCAGTTCAGGTGACGGAAACTCATTTGCATCTGAGGTCTTTGCAGAACAACTGCAGTGACAAACTGCACTGCCTGCCTCACTACAATCACGACTACCTCAAAGTGCCCAAGGCGAGTTTGCACAGTTGGCTTGCAGCCGAATGCGTTACAATCTGCCTCCAGGCAGCTCCTTTCTGGTAGCAAGTGATCTTCCCATAGCAAGGTGCTCGGCCGCAAAACAAAGAGACGCTGCATCAGCTTGCAAAGCTACTTTGCAAGGAACCATAAGTGGTTCTTCCTAGTATGTGCGGCAGTGGTAATTGCAGTGCATCTGTGACACATGGCCATGGGTCAAAAGCCCGTACCCCCAGTGAACATCCCAATCCAACCACTTAAATAGGTTCTAAAATGGGTGGTGAATTCACCTACCCAAAATGGTACCATTGGTTTTGACCCACAGCCACATAACAGCCACATACTTGGAAGATCTTCCTTCATGCCGTTTTTGACTGCTGGCCCAACCCATTCTAAAGGCAGCTCGACAAGGTGCAAGGCTGCCTTGGCCGGCTTTGGCTTCTCCTGGGGGCCATCGCCATAGACGGCTGCATGTGGGCAACATGCATTTCATCGTTTCAAGAAACCAAATAAATAAACTGCATCGGAAATCCATGCTTCTGCCCAGCTAATTTTGCACCTTGTGTCAGTACGTGTAATCTCTTGATCTGAGATGTGTCCCATATTCGAGGTTCGAAATACAACGGGGCTCGATAGTCCTGCCTGTGTCCATACTTGATCCGACTTTGTCTAAAGAGCGCCAGCCTGCGGAGGAGCCAGCATTGCAAGGTTGTCTTCATCATCGTCCTGGCGCGCTCTGATTGTGAGTTAGACTCAGCTTCTGCCCAGAAACTCTGACGCCGCGAGAGTGTTTGTGCTCGATGCCTGAAGAAATAGACATTAGTGTTTGCTTCCGGCACCAAACCAACCAGGGGAAATACATCATGTTCATTTCTTGTGTCCGCCAGACTCCAAAGCAGCAGCAGCAGCAGCAGCAGCAGCAGCAGCAGCAGCAGCAGCAGAAGCAGCAGCCATTGACAACACCCTGAAACAGTACCCTGCAACAGCACCCTTTGCTGATCAACTGTCCCTCACACTCGCCAAAAGCACCCTTGAAAAGTACCTTGCAACCGCACCCCACGTTCTAGCAGCACCCTTCAATGGCACCATACAAATCAGCACCCTGCAACAAGAACCCACTTACGCAACTTTGCGTCACACTCTCCAGCAGCCGTCCACAGCTTGAAACGGCACCCTAACAACTCTAACAACTCTTCAGCATCCTGTCTGCTTCTGCGCATGCACCGTGCTCTGCTGTGTCTACCCAATTTCAATGTATGTTTAATTCATTGGAATAAACATTATTAGAGCTTGTACGGCTGTTAAATAATCATTTTGCAATTGTTATACTTTGTTAAACTGAACTATGTGAATACTAATGATTGCATTGATCGGTGATGGTAGGGTGTGCGAAACTTCGCAAATGAAAAGATACGTTGCTCGATAGTGTTATATTATTCAATTTCAGCAACAAAAACTGCTTGCCATTTGTGTCAACGTCAACTTCGACCATTTAACATTCACGAAGTTCCTTCAGTCCGCTTGGTCTATTCATACTTTACCATCTCGAATCCGGTTGCAAACATGAACAAATCCAACAGCAAAGCACTACCCTCCCCTTCACTCGAATGAAAAATCCTCGTAGCTTTCAGGCTAAGGGATCGGAAGAACCCGGTGCTTCACCGGCCTCCTCGGCCGATGCCACCTTTCCTGTTGGCTCTCCTGGCTCAAGGGCTGGAGACTCCGCGCGGCCAGGTCTTTTACCACAGGTAACTTTTCCCATTTGGCCATGGGGAATCCAAAGTTCCGGTTAGCCCCCAGTGAACATCCCAATCCAATCACTTAAATAGGCTCTAAAATGGGTGGTGAATTCACCTACCCAAAAATGGTACCATTGGTTTTGACCCACAGCCATTTGCGTCATCCTGTAGCTTTCCGCAATGGGCATCCCATGTAAAGATGCAAAGCACCTTTTGATCAACTCCCATGTTCTTCCTGACAAGCGAAGCTGTGTTGGTCCCAACCCGACACAATTGCATGCCTTCGCGAGGCTTTCGGACAAACGAAGATTATTCTCCGGATACCTTCAGTGTCCAAATCACTTCCGCTCGAACATCAAGCTTACCTTCCCACAAAACTTGGGCAACGGCAAAGATATTTCCTGTGCCCTTCCCTGTTCTGCAGTGGGCGTTTCCGGCTCGTCTGGCACTTGCAGAAATGAAACAAAGCCGTGGCATGGTTGGAGGGCTGGGGTCAAGGTGGCAACGCAAAGGCCAGCGGCCAATGCCTGCAGGCTCTGCAGGCTCTGCAGGCTCTGCAGGCTCTGCAGGCTCTGCAACCGGCAGGGTTGGTGCCTGGCAAACGTGGGCAAAGTTGCCGCTTGCGAACGCAGAGCAGACCTCCAAAAAGATCCTACACAAGGTCTTGATGCCATCCTTCTGGCAAATTCTTCGACGCTTCAAGGCTTCCGTTTTCATACAGCATCCTTCTGTTTCGGAAGCTCAGCAGCAGAAAGGACTGAAATTCAGCTCCTTGACTTTCGCCATCTGTGTCCAACCGGCTTGCTTCCTCCCTCCAACTCCCGATTCGCGCGCCTTTGGGCAAAGCGCCTCGTCCTGCAAGGAAGCGAGAGAGAGAGAGAGAGGAAAAGAAAGAAGTGAGGCATTGAAGCAGGGTAAATGCAAGGTTATCATTCAGTCTTTCTGAGTCTGCAATAGAGATAAAGGGCTGACTAGAGTGTCGGGCTAGCGGCTAATCAACATTTCAAACAGGCAATGCTCACATCAAGAAACGGTGATCAGCTGCAGTTTGACAAATACCTAAACAAGTACACCACTCCTTTCTCTGAACAAAAACATGAGAAGCCAAATGGTGCTCCCTTAAGTTGGGAATGCGATGACCAAATCCCCGAAGCCGAGTCGCGGCCTCCGAGTCGGAGGCCAGGTCAACGCTCCCCACGACAACGCTACGTAGTGGCGGAGCAGCCTCTTCCTGGTGGAGCAGTCCGGCGTTGATGTTTTCCAATGCCTATGTTCTTCAACTATTTTTAAAGTTTGGAAAGTTGCTTGTTAGACTTTAAATTTGAGACTAGCTTGCTTTGTTTTGTTAAAAACAAAAAAGAACTAGAGGACGATTGGCCCGAAAGCATTTTTCCCCAGGTGCTCATCCAGCCGCGAGACACCTTTTTACATCGCTGCGGCGAGCGTGTCCGCGCGCGGCGATGCTCAATGCGTATGGTCACATGAGAGCTCCATCTCATCGTCCTACGAGAGGAAACATGGCAGTGCTCGATCCCACATATTTACATCCGTTAAAACAAGAAGAGTAAAGCTCGTAAAGCTCGAAACGAATTACAAGCAAAAGGAAGAGCAATCAATAGCAAAGCTTACACGACGGCCACAGTTTCTGCAAAGCACGCTCGCGCAACTTAGCTCTGTGCAAGATGGCTCTGCGCAGCTTGGCTCTGTGAAAGTTGGGTCTACGCAAGCTACTTTTCGCGAGTGGCTCTGCGCAACTGGCTCTGTGCAAGTTGGCTCTGCGCGAGTCTGCTCGGCGCAATGTGCTTTGCACGAACTGCGCCGCGCGATTTCTCACGAAAGTGGTCTGCGCAAGCTGCATCGTTCCAGGCTGCTGCGCGCAAGTTCCTCTCTGCAAGCTGCTGCACGCAAGCGCTCTATGCAAGTTGCTCTGCGCAAGTGCTCTGAGCAAGTTGCTCTGCGCCAGTTGCTCCGTGCAAGCGCTTTGCGCATGTGCTCTGTGCAAGTTGGTCTGTGCAAGTTGCTCTCCGCAAGTGCTTTGCGCAAGTGCTCTGTGCAAGTTGCTCTGCGCAAGTTGCTCTGCGCAAGTTGCTCTGAGCAAGTGCTGCCGGAGCTGTGGGAATGTACTTCGCGTACTATTTTTTGTACTTAAAAGTTGTGATTTTCCAGCCGGAGCTGCGGGAGTGTGCTCCGCGTACTACGTTTGTACTTAAAAGTTGCGATTTTCCAGCCGGAGCTGCGGGAGCACGCTCCGCATACTACGTCTGTACTTAAAAGTTGCGATTTTCCAGCCGGAGCTGCAGGAGCACGCTCCGCGTACTACGTTTGTACTTAAAAGCTGCGATTTTCAAGCCGGAGCTGCCGCGGACCAGGGGGGAATCGAACCCGGGACCGCGGGATTGCGAAAGCAGGCGAGAGACAACTTCCAAAAGCCGTTTCGCGAGCAAGAAAATCGCACGGCGCCACAGCGAGAGCGCTTCGACGCGCACGATCTCCGCAGAGGGTTCATCGGGCTCAAGACAGATGCGCACGGCGCCACAGCGAGAGCGATCCGACACGCACGATCCCCGCAGAGGGTTCATCGGGCTCAAGACAAATTCGCACGGCGCCACAGCGAGAGCGCTTCGACACGCAGGATCTCCGCAGAGGGTTCGCCAAGGTCAAGACAAATTCGCACGGCGCCACAGCGAGAGCGCTTCGACACGCACGATCTCCGCAGAGGGTTCGCCGCGACCAAGACAGATTCGCGCGGCGCCACAGCGAGAGCGCTTCGACACGCACGATCTCCGCAGAGGGTTCGCCGGCTCAAGACAAATTCGCACGGCGCCACAGCGAGAGCGCTTCGACACGCACGATCTCCGCAGAGGGTTCGCCGGCTCAAGACAAATTCGCACGGCGCCACAGCGAGAGCGCTTCGACACGCACGATCTCCGCAGAGGGTTCGCCAAGGTCAAGACAAATTCGCACGGCGCCACAGCGAGAGCGCTTCGACACGCACGATCTCCGCAGAGGGTTCGCCGCGCTCAAGACAAATTCGCACGGCGCCACAGCGAGAGCGCTTCGACACGCACGATCTCCGCAGAGGGTTCGCCGGTCAAGACAAATTCGCACGGCGCCACAGCGAGAGCGCTTCGACACGCACGATCTCCGCAGAGGGTTCGCCGCGCTCAAGACAAATTCGCACGGCGCCACAGCGAGAGCGCTTCGACACGCACGATCTCCGCAGAGGGGTGCGTTTCGTAAGCTCCTGTCGGGCCTACCCCCGCCAGAAAAAGAAGAAGAATTAAGAGTCGAGAAGTGAAGGTAGAACAGAAAAGTTAGCTTGTGTTTTTAGGATAGTGAAGTAACACCCGACAAATTAGCTTGTGCTTTTAGTAGAATGAGATAACAGCCGAAAAGTTGACATGAGAAGTTGGCAGGTGAAGTAACTCTCAAAAAGTTGACATGAGAAGTAGGCAGGTGAAGTAACTCTCGACAAGTTGGCATGAGAAGTTGGCAGGTGAAGTAACTCTCGACAAGTTGGCATGAGAAGTTGGCAGGTGAAGTAACTCTCGACAAGTTGGCATGAGAAGTTGGCAGGTGAAGTTGGCAGCCGCTTTTAGAAGAAGAACCCTTCGCAATGCTTCCGGGAAAACTAGACGACGAGTGGCCCGGAAGCATAGAGGCAAGTTGATGCAGGTGAGGTAACTCTCGCAAAGTTAGCATGAGGAGTTGGCAGGCGAAGCAATTCTCAAAAAGTTGGCATGAGAAGCTGGCAGGTTAAGTAACTCTCGAATAGTTGGCTGGCAAAGTTGGCGGGTGAAGTAATTCTCGCAAAGTTGACATGAGAAGTTGGCAGGCGAAGTAACTCAAGAGAAAAGTTGGCATGAGAAGTTGGCAGGTGAAATAACTCTCAAAGAGTTGGCATGAGAAGTTGGCAGGTGAAGTAACTCTCGAAAAGTTGGCGTGAGAAGCTGGCAGGTGAAGTAATTCTCGAAAAGTTGGCACGAGAAGATGGCGCGTGAAGTAACTCTCGAAAAGTTGGCGTGAGAAGCCGGCAGGTGAAGTAACTTTCGAAAAGTTAGCATGAGAAGTTGGCAGGCGAAGTAATTCTCGAAAAGTTGGCGCGAGAAGTTGGCAGGCGAAGTAACTCTCGAAAAGTTGGCAGGCGATGTTGGCAGGTGAAGTACCTCTCGAAAAGTTGGCATGAGAAGCTGGCAGGTGAAGTAATTTTTCGAAAAGTTGCCACGAGAGGTTGGCAGATAAAGTATTTCTCGAAAAGTTGGCATGAGAAGTTGGCAGGTGAAGTAATTCTCGAAAAGTTGGCAGGTGAAGTTGCCACGAGAGGTTGGCAGGTAAAGTATTTCTCGAAAAGTTGGCATGAGAAGTTGGCAGGTAAAGTAATTCTCGAAAAGTTGGCATGAGAAGCTCGCAGGTGTAGTAACTCTCGAAAAGTTGGCATGATAAGCTCGCAGGTGAAGTAACTCCTCGAAAAGTTGGCACGAGAAGTTGGCAGGTGAAGTAACTCTCGAAAAGGTGGCATGAGAAGCTGGCAGGTGAAGTAATTCTCGAAGTTTCGGCATGAGAAACTGGCAGGTGAAGTAATTAACCCTCAAAAAGCTGGAGCGGCGGAGGCGCTCCGCGTGCTACATTTGCAATTTACAGTTGCGATTTTCCAGCCATTTGTATCTAAAAGTTGCGATTTTCCAGCCGGAGCTGCGGGAGCACGCTCCGCGTACTACGTCTGTACTTAAAAAGTGCGATTTTCCAGCCGGAGCTGCAGGAGCACGCTCCGCGTACTACGTTTGTACTTAAAAGCTGCGATTTTCAAGCCGGAGCTGCCGCGGACCAGGGGGGAATCGAACCCGGGACCGCGGGATTGCGAAAGCAGGCGCGCACACCACGAGACAACTTCCAAAAGCCGCTTCGCGAGCAAGAAAATCGCACGGCGCCACAGCGAGAGCGCTTCGACACGCACGATCTCCGCAGAGGGTTCATCGGGCTCAAGACAAATTCGCACGGCGCCACAGCGAGAGCGCTTCGACACGCAGGATCTCCGCAGAGGGTTCGCCAAGGTCAAGACAAATTCGCACGGCGCCACAGCGAGAGCGCTTCGACACGCACGATCTCCGCAGAGGGTTCGCCGCGACCAAGACAGATTCGCGCGGCGCCACAGCGAGAGCGCTTCGACACGCACGATCCCCGCAGAGGGTTCATCGGGCTCAAGACAAATTCGCACGGCGCCACAGCGAGAGCGCTTCGACACGCACGATCTCCGCAGAGGGTTCGCCGCGCTCAAGACAAATTCGCACGGCGCCACAGCGAGAGCGCTTCGACACGCACGATCCCCGCAGAGGGTTCGCCGGCTCAAGACAAATTCGCACGGCGCCACAGCGAGAGCGCTTCGACACGCACGATCTCCGCAGAGGGTTCGCCGGTCAAGACAAATTCGCACGGCGCCACAGCGAGAGCGCTTCGACACGCACGATCTCCGCAGAGGGGTGCGTTTCGTAAGCTCCCGTCGGGCCTACCCCCGCCATAAAAAGAAGAAGAATTAAGAGTCGAGATGTGAAGGTAGAACAGAAAAGTTAGCTTGTGTTTTTAGGATAGTGAAGTAACACCCGACAAATTAGCTTGTGCTTTTAGTAGAATGAGATAACAGCCGAAAAGTTGACATGAGAAGTTGGCAGGTGAAGTAACTCTCAAAAAGTTGACATGAGAAGTAGGCAGGTGAAGTAACTCTCGACAAGTTGGCATGAGAAGTTGGCAGGTGAAGTAACTCTCGACAAGTTGGCATGAGAAGTTGGCAGGTGAAGTAACTCTCGACAAGTTGGCATGAGAAGTTGGCAGGTGAAGTTGGCAGCCGCTTCTAGAAGAAGAACCCTTCGCAATGCTTCCGGGAAAAACTTGGATATAGATTTGCACAAAGACTTGCATAACATTCCGAGATGAAAAAGGATCTTCGGGGATGTTGCAGATTTTCTGTGGAGTAACAACCCTGGCATCTTGGATAATTGTTCATGTGTTAGATTCGAGCGTTGCAATCCCCGAAGTCAAGAGCCGACAAATAGAAACTCGGTTGCTTTCTGCTCCCCTGCTGAAAGTTTAACTTTTAGTGGCTTAATGGAAAACCCATTAGTTGGCAAAAAGTTAAAGCCCTAACATCCCTTGGCAAAATGCACCAAAGGAAACCTTGGAAAGATGGCCTGAGTTTACTGAATCGGCAAATTCAAGTTCTGCCTCAGCCTCAGCCGGCTCGCAGGGCTGCCCGTCTGCGGCCGCTGACTCCTCAGGCTGCTCTGCCGTCCGGTTGAGCAAGCTGCCGTGTAGGTTTGGCGCGGCTATTCGCAGTGAAGCAATTCAAACCTACCCTGTCAGACTGCAGAAGCCCTATCTTTCCTGTCCAGACAAAAATATGGGAATCCTGGGAGTGGCAAATCACCTAGCATTCGGAACTGTACAACTTTGCCAACTGCAGTGAATTGGAAAAGTTTCGCCCATGGCTGGAAGCAATGTCGGCCCTATCGACCCAAGGCCATGACAACGTAGAACAAGAATGTCGGAACAGCTCCTCTGCAGCTGGGCATAGCATCTCATCCTGCACACAGCGGCTAAAGAAACATGGGGTTCAGGCATCTCTGGCTGGGGAGTTCTGTTCTACACTGCGAGCACGTCAAGATAGCCCCAGTTTTGAATACGGCTAAATGAGATTCTGATTACGCATCTGTGAAAATTGCCCACGAAAGGCGCCTCAAGCCATGGGGTTCATTTCGGGCCCACCGCACACGGCCGACATCAACTCCCCTGCCTCGTCGTCGGAGAGTACGTCAACACAGGACATGGTGCGGATGTGGTCGGTGAAAGTGGTGTTTCTCTTGCTTGGCCGCTCGGAACTCACGAAAGACTGAGGACTGAGGCAGGTGAGCGGTCTTACCTGCCAGAACAGACACCTCTAGCGTGTACGTTGCAAGCTTGCCGGCGCTGCTTGAAGTTGCAAGACTCCACGGAATAGGAGTGTATACATGTTTGGTTTGGGGTTCAGGTTTAGGGTTTAGGTTTAGGGTTTAGGGTTTAGGGTTTAGGGTTTAGGTTTAGGGTTTAGGGCTTAGGGTTTAGGTTTTAGGGTTTAGGGTTTCAGTAAGCATTTGAACATGACAGTGGTAAGGCATACCTGTTTGTATACCACATTTGCCACAAAGCCTCTGCGATGGAGTTTTGCCAAAGGATACTGTTTTGGCCCTGCCAAAGCCTGAAAATACCAAACACATGTCCGACTGGGACTTCGAGCTTCAGGTTCATGTTATTTCCCTATTTTGGGCTTTAGTTGGGCTTTAGTGACGTTCCAAAATGGTTTTCGTGTTCTCTGAACTTCCATTTGGGCTCCGCGCGTCAGAGTGGCATCCCACTGCCTTCCCAAGTGCTTGCCCACGAGAAGATCCTAGGACTCACACGGAGAGGATTTGCTTCCTTGACAAATCTGAGATCACCGTCTTTTGGAGACGTCTTGCATTGCGACTGGCCAATTCCATTATTTGTGTTTTGCCAATCTTCCAACTGGGCAAACTGCGGCTGGCCGAGCTGAATAGCCACAAGTGGAATTGCCGCATTAGCAACACCGCTGCTGATGCGCACCTGCTGGCCATTTTCGGGGGGCTCTCCAGACATGAGACGGGCGAACAGTTTCAAAGAGGGCAGCCGCAACCCCATTAGCACCCAGGCTCCTCATGCCAGCCAGGGGATAAATCAAGCCGGTTGGCCACCTACCTGCTTGATGCACTTTGACCCTCACATATGTGTGCTGGCGAAATCTTTCCAGGTTTTGCCTGTCCACTTGTTGGTCGGGGTTTCATAACTTTGACAACTTCCTTTTGGCGTTCACATTATCTGCCTGCTGCTATGTGGCTCAATCTGTTTGATTAGCTTGCTGGCATCTGGGTCAGTGCAGTTCATCAACAAATGATCTCTTACGTTGTATGGCATGTAAGTCCATGATGCATTAGGCTGTAAGGACAAGCAACACCGCTGCTACTCGCCTCGACTCTTGCGAGTAATACCAAAAAGAACATGGGCGTGTTGTTGGATAAGCTTGTCTTGCAACACGTGAAAAGCCGCAGGAGCGCACCGCAGGTTCGTTCCAACCCAAAGCCTTTGGGCCCCGGCCTCTTGTGCTGCGCGCAAGGCTGCAAGCGCCTTGACCACTGTTTGGCGCACAGTCACAATATTTCAACTCTGGGTGCTTACTGGTAGCACGAATATAAAAGAAAATGATGCAAGAGAGAACATCTTCATTTCCGGATGACTCATATCTGGCGGTGAATCATCTGGTTTAGCATGAACTGCCTGGTTCTTACAGTGTTGGGCAAACCATGACAAGTTCTTATCTTTAGGCTTGTCCCTGTGCCCACGGGCCAACATTCCGTGCCTCAGGATGAAGAGTTTATGTTTGTCGTGCCTCAGGATGAAGAGTTTATGTTTGTGACTGCTTACCCCGCCTCATCTTCCTCTGGCGTGGCCACCAGCGCCATGACAGCATGGGATGAGCTATCAACGCTATCCAAGAAAATGGAGTTGAGATGTGTGCCTTCCGCTGCAGCCAGCCTGATCAATGTAGAGCGCTTAAAAAATAGAGCAAACATGACGGTGCATACACAAATCAATTGTGTTCAGTCCGGAAAAACCACAAGGAACCAACCAATTCCAGGCCCCAACTGCCCAATGTCCGTGCCTGCAAAACCAGCTGTGGCTTCAGCCCCACTTGTCATGGCGCTGTGAGGCACATGCCTTGCAAATCTTGAGCCAGCGATGAGTCACCGCAACGGACTAAGTGCAAACCCTCAGCTGCACGATGAAGAAAGGAATCCGAATCCTGCTCCAAAGGTCCGAAACGAAGCAATCCTCCGCGGTCCCATTTTCGAAGACGCTAGTGAAACAGTGGCATCGCATCGTCATTGCCACTTCCCATCTCAGCATACCTGGTCCACAACAAGGGCATGCTTCCCACAATGGGTGTGTTGAGTCTCAGTCGCTCAGTCTTATTCCACTCCAACTTCCATCTGAGCTGCGCACACGCTCCTGGGGACTCCGTCGCCGAGGCGGCGGGAGCTGCTTGTGCCTGGGCTCACTGCCTTTGCATTCCTTGCATAAGTCAACTTGGGCGCAAGAATCCCGCAAGTGGCGAGTGTCTCTCAGCTTTTAGCTTGGGCTAAGCAAAGGGCTCTGATGACTTCCCCCCTCCTTTCCTCGCAAAGGGTCCATTCATGCGGCGCTTCTAAAGCTTCTGGCCGGTCATCGATCGCATGGACGACGCCCATTGACTCCAAGAGCCCACTGGCCTAAGCCGCGGAATCAGGGCAAGTGCACTGAATCCAGAGGAAATGCGTTCCTGTCCATGGCATGTGAAGTGCTGGTACCAAGCCAGGGAGGACTCCGCAAGTTGCGAATGCTCCAGGCAAGACTCGTCAAAAATTCAGCGTGTCTGCAAAGCTTGCTGGTAGGCTTTACTAAAATCGGCGCAACCTGTGATTGGTGCGGCTCTATCCAACCTTTGAGTAGCTAGTGACAAGCAACGTTGCGACAAACCAATTGATCTGACCACTGACGAACCAACAGTACCAGGATGCCAATAAGAAACACGGCGCAACGACGACGCAGGTTTGGATTGTCTGTGCCAGAATGATTTGAAATTCGCTCACTCATGGGTTTTGCAATTGGTGGCTTTGGGCTGCCGCAGCACCATTTGACCAACCCCTGCAGTTCAATCCAATGCTAAACCCACCCTAAGTCACCCTAACTCAGCCGAAACGCATAAACCAAGCCTATCTAGGTATCGCTTAGCGTGGGTGCAGGGTAGCCAAAACCAAGCCTGCAAGCGCAAAGTGGACCAAAAAATAAGGACACGTCAAATGGTCTTTCTGATCAATCAGAGACACGAGTCTCCTTCGGAAGGATGGTGGCCCGACAGCACCATCCAAACATCAAACATCCAGGTAGCATGCAACATGATCTGAGAGTGAATTCAGCATCTGGTGAATCAGGCTTCTTTCTCATTCGTCTCCAAGCAAGTCCCGAAATGCCTAAAATATCGGCCTCTCCCTCTCCTTGCATTCTGCCCGGCTCATCCCGACAAATTGAAGCAACCAACTGTCGCACCAGAATATGGCCATGGGTCAAAACCCAAAATTCCGGTTAGCCCCCAGTGAACCTCCGATTCAATCCAACCACTAAAATAGGTTCTATGGGTGGTGAATTCACCAATCCCCCAAAATGGGATTCCATTGGCTTTGACAACCACAGCCATATGCGCCTGTGCCAGAAGTGCACAGCTTGACCCAAGGGGCTTCTTCTTGCGGCCGCCAAGCAAGGACTGGCGGTGGAAAAATCGGGGGAGCCGGTGCCCACCCTCCAGTTTTCAACGGGGGAACCCGGTTCCGCTTCGTTGTTTCGGAGACATGATTCTCCCCAATCAACTGCCGAGATTCAGAGAAACTCCCAGTCTTGACCCTGCAAAAGCTCTGCGACCACAGGTCTGTCAAAGACAAAAAAGGTTTGACGCCAGCAAGCTGCCAAGTGAGGGCCGGCAAAGCAAGGCCGAGTCTCATCCAGAAAATCTCCGTGCCTCCCCAGCATGGTGGCTGGGGGCCTCGAAAAGGGGGTCCTCACCATCCTGGCGCAAACCAAGCTGTGCTTGCCAGCCAAATCTGCTTGCAGCTTGCGGATCTGAACATGGTCAAGCTGCAGAACATAAATAAATAATAATAATAATAATAAACAAAAAAAAAAAAAAAACGCCATCCACTGCCCTTCCAGCGGCCTTTTTTTTTGGCGTGCCTCCATGACCCGGGCCGGTGCCGGCACTGTCCGTGGCGGCGGGCTCCTGAGGGTTCAAGCACAACTTGAGTCAAAACCTGGTACACTCCCTCAGACGATTCCAGCCGGAAGCTCCCAGAAGGCCGCTGAAAATGGAAAACCAAGTCTCCCTTTGGAAGCTTCCATAGGGGCAGGGTACAAAAATGGTGAACCCAGAACCATGTAAGAGGTTGACCTTTCCCTTCACGGGCCCTTCCCGTTCCCAAGAAGTTGAATCTGCCAACCTTCAGCTGACCTTTCACAAATGTGATCATTCAGCATCCATATTGCAGAGTCAATGGTTGCTGTGGGTCAAAAGCCAAAATTCCGTATCCCCAGTGAACATCGAACAACTAAAATAGGCTCTAAAGTGGGTGGTGAAATCACCAATCCCCCAAAATGGGATCCCAAAACGGTTTTGAACCACAGCCATTTAAATCTGCCAACGTTCAGCGCAGCGGTGAAGATCTGACTTTTGGTTCTAGACAAGTTTGCAGAACAATGGTGTGGCAAAGGGCCGGGATGTGCACGCCTGTCACTTCCTCTTCTCTTGTGTTCAGCTGTTCTGCGAGCATCTGAAAGTACTCGTTCTCCGCTGTTCGTTGCAACAAATTTGTGGAGTTGAGGAGCTTGGCCATTGCACTGGAGCAACTGTTGGTTGTCAACAGCCTGCAAGCAGTCGCTTAGCAGGCACAACCGCTGCACAACATGCGAGCGCATATGGGAAAGAAGGAACAGCTTGAATGCCAGGGAAAAAAACTGGCAGCAACCGTGGCAGTACAACATGTCGTAGACTCAGCGAGGCCACTCAACACCGGCCATCCAGCGAATTGTTGTGTTCCTTGTCCAACATTCATCATGGCTTCCGGCACGGAACAACTGACGCCCGTTGCATGAGGATATGCACGATGCGATAGAGAGGGGAGATTGCAAATCGCGGAATATTGTCATGTCTAAGGAGCAACATTACCATGGAAAAATAGCACGTGCAATGAAACAATGGCAAAGAGCGATAACGATCAAGAAACATCAATAATAGTTCAGACTTCGAGCAAATGCCCTCGCAATAGGATGTCTCTATCAGAAAACTGGCTTAAGCATCTGAGTCAAGTCTGAAGCGCAAATCCCTGACAGGAACGAGCAAAGGAAACTCATCTGAGGCACCGAACCCACCGCTGAAATGATCGGCCGGTCCCGCTGCTGCACTGGCCTCATTGAGTAATGCTTACTGGTATCCAATTGTTCCAGCTTGGGAGTTGGAAACAACTGCAGGTCATTTTTCGGTTTCCAGCCTCAAATGACAGGGCTTGGAGATGCAGTCACTCTTTCAAAAGGTCATTGAAAATTCTAGCTTCGAAATATATATATATATATACACACTGTGTGCATATAACTACACCCGGCCGGTCACTCGAAGCCAGGGCTGGATGCGGTGTTGCTTGCAAGGAAGCCGTGATCGTGCTCGTGTTGACGTGTCCAGTCTTGCGAAGTGAGCATGAACACGGAACAACTGAACACACCCTTGAATCTTCAAACTCCGAGAAAAAAATCAAGCGCCGAAGAACCCAACTCCGCAGAACAAAAAAACTCTGCAACGTGGAGCAATTCAGTGTGATTGGTTCTGAGGGCTTTGACAGAGGCTCGAATTCTAATCGCTAGACTCGAAACTGTTGCAACGGTATGCAAAGTCCTCAATCAACCAGATGCGTGGCCAACGCCCTTGTGCTCCTTTGAAAGCAAGTGTGTTGCTCTCGGTCGCCTCCGCAACTGCCGCCCACTGCTTCTGATCCGATTTTTTTGAAGCCAGGGGCCCGCACGGGCGCGCTGCCTGACACCCGGGCAGGACACTCATGAGGTGCTGTGAAAGGATCTCAATGTGCGGTGCAGGGGGCTGAGGTCAATCAGCTCACCAGGCGGCAAGTTGTGTAATTAAGAGGCGGCAAGTTGCTCCTCAAAATCTAGGTGCGGCCCTGCCATCGAGTTGGGCTCGGCCGGCTGACAAACGGGATCCAGTAGGGCTAGCTCAACTGGGCTGGCATTGGATGCTCCACATGCTCGTGGGCCGTACTTCCTGAATCAAGCAAAGCTGCTGATTTGTTCGCCCAAATTACCCTGCACGGGTTTGATTGGATGCCGGCACTCATGCCTTGGGTGTGCGCAAATTTCGGATATGACGAGGCCCCCCCCCTTTGCCTGAAATAAGCAGCTCGGGACTGGCATCTATCCAAGTAGGCCCGCTCGGCTGTGTCGCAAGCACTGGTACCTCCGTCCCGCTCATCACAATTTCGGACGGCCCAAACAGCCCAATTTGTCTGACACGCACAACTTGGAATGATACACGTGGAAACCCGCCTAGCGGGTGAGCCCCTTGCGCAAAGCAGGTATGATGAATGTCCCAGGACTTAAACCAAGGGGTGGGTCATGTACCCCAAAAAGGGAATGCCCCTGGGTTTGAGTCTATTTGCAGGTGGTCAAAAAATAGAACCGTGGGCCAGCATACAGTTTCGGCACCGTTTTCGAAAAGAATTTGACCTCAGCGGCGCTCTCCTTGCATCTCTATGTGATCAGGAAATCTCGATGGTATTGCTTCTGATGAGCATGGTTTAAGCTATTCAAATATCTGAGGCTAGAACCTCAGATTAAAATGCGTCAATAAGTCCCGATGTCGAGAATTGGAAAGGCCAGCCTCACTAGTGATGTGTTGATTGGCGGAGTGCGGTGCGCTCTATTTGAGAGCAAGCACGTCCTTGAGACGCGGGCATTCTCTGTATAGTTGCCATGAAGGGAACAGCAAGTTCCCGCAGTACCAGCGCGATAAATCCAAGTCGGAATGTGAAACTAGCCGGCTGACCCGGCCATGGGTCAAAATCCCCACTAAAACAGGTTCTAAAATGGGTGGTGCACCTACCCACAATGGTACCATTGGTTTTGACCCACAGCCACCTTGGCCTCGAACATGAATACTCCCGACACAGACCCAACATTGCAAAGGCCAGGTGGGTGCAAGCTTGGATCAAAGCGAATCGTTCTGTCAGGGACAATATGCTGATGAGAAAGGACACTTCTACGTGTGCCAGAGCTGCACTTGTGAGGGATTCAGTTGGTGAAAATTGGCAACCAAGGAGTGCTGTCGGGATCACAAGGTTCAAAACTCTCTGTCTTGCCAGTGTGCAACATGACCATGGATGCTGCCAAGCGACGGGTGGCGGCGGCAACTGGAGCAAGCAGGCGGCTTGTCAACGACCCTATTGCACATCTTGATAGCAAGTTGTACCTGCAAGATGTCGACCCAATCTGCCCTTTCAGTGAAATAACATGATCGGGAACAAATTACCGGGGGCCCTCCGCCTTAATGGGGCACTCCCTTGCCAACATGTCCGTGCATGTGCTTTGAAGATCTTAAATGAAGCAAGTGCCTCGTCTACCTTTGCCACAATGCTATTTGCATGCTTTGAGTGGAAACTGCTTCCGCCACGTGCTCCTAGATCACCTGTCATTGCCGTTCCAAGAGGTTTGCTCTCAGCATGAACTCTCAGCTTGCTCAAGGCAGGATTAGAGTTAGGCAGTGAGGCCCAGCTATTGTTTGCTTCAATTTGAGTCACTGGTAAAAGTCTACCCTAAGGCCCATGCCACAAAAGCTACGAGCTGCTTCGAGCACTTCTCCGAGGCCCCGACATTCGCAGCAGGCGCCTGCGCTAAGCGCCGCTTGCACGCGGTCGTTTGCGGGAAACAAAAGCATTGAAGCCATCGGCTGTCAGGCAGGGGGGTCGGTTTGCCACCTTGGATGAGAAATGGGCGACCCAAGGAATCCTTCACTACGAGGGGGGTCGACCATTCTTTCCACAAAAGGTGGAAAAAAGACCCCTGGTCTGCAACCTCCGCGTATCTCCAGTGGGTCTGCAACGAACCCAGGCACTGTCCAGCCTTTGGGGGGATTTTGGGCCCTGGCTTGGTGGACCTGGCGATGTCCTGGTCGACCTTTTTTTTCCTGTAACAAATCCAACTTGGCGCGTTTGGATCACTTGGCTGTGATTGTCAAAAATGGGTATCCATTTCGGAATCCTGGTGAATGGAACCAAGGACTAAAACCTGCGGTCCATATCCTGGTGCTTTAATTTTCACCCATACCCACTTGACGAAGAGCCCGACTCGTGTCAAAACACGTCTCTCGAGATGTTCTACTGACTCTCCCTCAAGAATCCAACAAGTATTTTTTCGCTTGCTTGACACAAGCAGAGGAACCAAATCAATATGTGGCCATGGGTCAAAACCCAAATCGTACCCAGTGAACATCCGATTCAATCCAACCACTAAAATAAGTTCCCAAAATGGGATCCCAAAACGGTCTTCACCAAACCACCGCCATATGCGCCTCACCTTTGCAGCCTCAGGGAACCAACCCTGCCTCGTCGCTCTCCACCCCCAGGCCACGAAGCACCTCCGAGATGTCCTCACGGAAAATTTGCGCGCAACCCGATTCGAGCAATGGGCGTGAATTTTCTTACGGGGAGCCATTACAAAATGGTGGTTTCCCTTTTGGGCTTCCCTTTGAAGCCATAAATAGGGTACCCTCCAAAAAAAGACAGACCCACATGAAAGCCCTCAGCCAGCAGTAGTCTGCCAGCTCACAAAGTGGTGATCACCCTTGCAATGAGAAAAGGTGAAACTTAAGGGTATCTAATTTGGTGAGTGTCCTGGATTCTGAATATTGACAATATCATGTCCATAGCAACATACCGTGAGATGAAGGCTGATCTAGTAGTCATGTCAATAACAAAAGCTTAGTTTAATATAGCTATGGATCAAACCCCGTACCCCCCAGTGAACATCCCAATCCAACCACTAAAACAGGTTCTAAAATGGGTGGTGCACCGAAACCCCCAAAATGGGATCCCATTGGTGTTGACAACCACACCCATATCCCATCATCCGAACTTCCGTATAAAGGCGAACTAAAACCTCGCCGCACAGGCCACAGTACACGGTATGCACATTTTATTACTGGTTCACACGCAGACTGAGACCGTGGGGGGCTCCACTCGTGGATGCTTCAGGATCGCTGGCGAAACAGCGTTGACTTGCAGTTTTCTTTCAAGATGTGAAGCAGGCCCTGTCTGTATGTGTGAAAAAAAGCCCGGAAAGACTCATAAGGCCGAAAAGGAGGAAGCTCGATCCCAAAAGTGACCGAATGTTGCCACGCCTCAACCAAGGTGATAAGCTCTTCCAGCTCTGCCGGATCAAAGTCACTTCCTTGCTCCAGCGCCTGGCCGGCTAGCAAAACGCACAGCCTCCAAAGCGGACCTTGGCACAACTGTGCCAAGTCTGTTGGAATCATTTTGGGGCCAAACACAACCCTGGAAGGCATCGTCAGGGGCATCTTCTCATTTTCTCTGCAGTGCTTGCTCCTGAAAAGAAGCATCTACTAAACGGTGCGGGGACAAAAGCAGCTGAAAGCAGCTGAAAAAAGCTGACTCATGCGCATGGTTGGCCTCACGCTTGTGCTTAGGTCTGGCAAAAACAGCTTGAGAACATTTGTTCCAAAATCGAAAGTCCCAGCCAAAAGCACCTGCACCAGAACCTCCACCCGCTCGGACGCATCAGCTCGCGCAGCCTCGTTGCAATCCGTGGGTCTTAGGCCAAATGCATAGCAACAGCTCTGAAGCATGGACCTCTTAGTGCTTGCCAAAGTCGTTCATATGGCCATGGGTCAAAATCCCGTACCCCCAGTGAACATCCCAATCCCCGCTAAAATAGACCAAAATGGGTGGTGCACCTGCCCCAACATGGGACCAAAACGGTTTTGACCCACAGCCATATGAAAGTCTAGTGCCAACACCTGCATCATGTGAACAGGCTTGGAAGTGGCTTGGATGCAGCTATCCAAAGGCATGTGTCTGTGGCACTTCGTCATCCTCGCTGTCAAGTGCCTCTGTCTGTTGAACATGCCCAAACTGGCGTTGCGCATAGCCTGCGTCTTAGCTGCACTCTCTGGGGCACTGGCTACCATTCGGACAATCTCCTGCATGATCTCATCCAGCCAAGCTCTTGACATGTCTAACAAGCCCTCGAGTTCAAAACTTCAGCCGGTGGGAGCTCTGTAGGCTTGGCCAGATTATCCTTGCCAAAAAGATACATAAATGAATTGACTGCGTACAAGCACATGGGCCAGCAGTTGCACTGAAATTTTACCTGGCACCAATCTGGCTGACGCTTGCCTTGGTGAATGTAGCGAAGTTGTTTCAAAATTCACTTCAGGCTGGCCCCCGCTCCTCCTCTGCCTTCTCCCGCTCGGCCTCGGCCCTTCCCTCGGCCCTTCCCTCGGCCCAGCTGGCCGACGCCGTGGGCGCAGATCGTGGTGCCGATAGGGACGACGTCGCACCGGCCAGATACGCTGGGCCTGCAGTCCGTCACACGAAGTCTTACGGTATTCTGTGCTATGAGAGTTGCTTGGGCCTGCGATTTAAGTCACAGCGAAGCGACCGAGAGGCAAGTAGAAATGGTACTAGAGGCCCCCTTAGCCCCCGCTGGGACTTATTGTGTTTGGCGTTGTTGAGTGTAGATGAGATCTGTGGGTGCATGTTGTTTCTCGCGGCCCCTCGTTATCCGTCAGTGAGGTGTCATTCTTTTAGTGTGGGAAGAAGTTCTATGGTGCTTTGGGCGGTTTGCATAAGGTGTTGTTGTTGTCGTGATTCTGGTGGCTAAGGCACAATCCCCTCGATTCCACCCTCTCCTGCGCTGGTGGGTCTGAAGGCAATGTCTCCAAGCTTCATGGGCGATGCGATGGAAAGCCAGCCTTTTTACATCTCGCATTCCCAGAGGTCGGGATAGAACTGGTCAACGGTTGCTGCGCACTTGGGGCGCCCTACCCGAAAAGCAGGAACACAGGCTGGAGTGTGCTGGCCATGTTCGTTGCTTTCTGTTTAATAACGTGTTGCGACGCTACAGTCCATAATGTTCCAGTTATCCTGTCTACCTCTGTAGAAGGCAAAAGGGCCATAAAAAAGCAACACCTTCAAAGAAAACCTGCACAGAAGAGTTGAAACCTTCTTGAAGCAGGGTACCTTTATGTTCCCGAAGAGGCAGCAAAAAAGGCAAACCGAAAGCCGACCGCACCAGGCAGCATCTTCAGCCGCCTTTTTCGCGCCCCCCAACCTATGTCCTATTCAAACACTGCCACGAGTCGAGTTGAAGGAACAGCACAGCATAATTGTAGACGGGCGCGTCGCTTCCTTGAATGTCCCTTCTCCTCTGAGTCTACGTCTATGCAAGAATGAGCGCTCTGTGCCGTGGGTTCCCTGGCAGGCGTCGGCCGAACGCATCTTGCGAAGGGCTTTCGCAGCCACTTGCGGCATCGGCAGCGGGGCCGAAGAAGGTGTGCTCTCGCATGGCGGGAATGTGCCAAGTCAGTCTAAGTCACGGGAACTGCAGGCGCAGTCGGAATGGAGGGGAAGCCTTTCAGGGATCTTGCATGCGCCGAGATTTTCGGTGAGCTGCGTTCAAATGGAGAAGCAACCCCGGGCAAACAAGAGGCCGGGTGTTGGAAGCGACATCTGAGCAGCACTCCTTTTCCACGGTCAAGTTATCAATTCATGGCAGCTCTGCGAAAGCTTCCCTTTGCTTGCTCTTTCTATCAGAAGAATCAAGAAAACATGTGGCTGGGGGAAAGGAAAAAAGAGACCCTGCAGGAGCGCGGAAGCCGCGATTCAAGCAAACGTCCACACAAACCTCGCAGAAGGTTTCCCGCAAGTCAAGATGACGTCCATTCAAAACATGGACGAACAACTACAAAGATCATCGTCATGCATCACACTGCATCCCACATCACGTATAAGTCCATGCGTCACAAGATGCGCGGCAACATGTGCTGGTTGAAAGCACAGTAGCGGGGGAATGCATCAGAATTCGTCCCACGTTGCGCTGCTTCATGCAGCACATCTTGCGCAGCCACTACCACAATGGTGTGCCAGAATCCGTTGAAAGGGTTTTTCGAAAATGAAAACACTCACTTCGAAGCGTTGCCATCACAAATCGTGAATTCTTGGACCTCCGGCAGCAAGTCTGCGAATTGCAAGCGCTGACGCCCGAACAAGGGAACATCACTAGATTCTGGAGCCAGGGTACACAAAAGAATCAGACTCTTCAAGCTGACACGCTTGCGCCAGGCACAGTCAGCAATGGCCAACAGCAACTGCTCCTATGCGCCGGTGCCGCATTCAGCCGGGCGCTGGGCAGTTGCCTGCACGACGCAGAGCAAGCCAATCGAGCATCAAAGCCACGTGTAAGAGATATGTCGCTCAGTGCGCCCACGAAGGCCAAGTTTTCAAACGCCTGCAACCTGCTTTCCACTCGGCTGACCCCGCCTCAGGAAGCAACTGGATTGCAACGCCAAAAAGGGTTGCTTTGGGTCTGCAAGAATGCAAAGCGTGGGATGCAAGCATGTAGGATATGAGCAAGGCCTACCAAGCTGCAGACGCTGTTTGCTGCAAGCCGTGGATTGTAGCAGAAAGCTGAAGGCAACAAGCCTACTTGACCCAGTGTTAGGACATGCGTCACACATGCACATTCTAAAAATCACACAGCAAAGCGCTGCGCGCCGAGATTCAGAACTTCCGGCCGCACAGAATGTCCGTCGCAATTGCCGGATAAAGAGCACCTGGCGCTCTGTCTGCACGCGTGTAAGCTCAACTCCGAAGGTCGAGCACCATGCAGCACAGCCGCAGGCACTCTCCCTAGGCCGGGCTGCTAAGCTGAGGCTCAGGCAACGGCAACCAGCTTGCCGGCTGCAAGATGAGGATAGCCGAGCCCACATTTCTGGAAGCGCCCAGAAGCCGCACAACGCACCGGCAATCTTGAGCGGGTTCATGCTTGCGGTTCAAAGCGCATGAGCCACGCAAACCCGCTCGGACACGAGTCCCGCTCTAAGGCTGGACTTTGCCGGGCGCGCCGCTGTGACGGGCCATGCGCCGGCCAAAGATGTCAAGCTCACGTGTCCAAGCTTCAGATCTGCAAGGCCTATGGCGAATTTGATCACCAAACGCCGCATTTTGGATGCGTCCAATGGCACTTGCAGGTTTACATTGCTAGGAAATGACCCATCTTCCACAAGGTGGCAGCTTGCTTCGGTCAAAACCATTTGGAGCCAATCTTTGTGCTGCGTAGCCTGCCAAAAGCTGGCCCAGCTTGAGACCTGCTGCCGAGTCGCAGCCGCAAGTTGCGGCGACCGAACGAGCGGCTAAGGAGAACGACTTTGGTTGCGGCGCGCGGTTGCTGGACAACTGCTAGGTTGAAGCGAAGGATGGCAATGGATCCACTTCAAGATGGCAGCAAAGCCACACTGCACAGACGCCGGTTGCTGGACGACTGCTAGTATCCCATTAGTTTCACACCTTATTCTTTTTGGACATGAACAAAAGGTTAGCATGCTTGGCATGCGACAGCTTTGTTTCAGCCAACCCTCTCTAGGGCAACGTGGCACACTGCAACGGCTTGGGCTTTGGCTTTGGCTTCATCCGGCCGCGTTTCTAGTGGTTGATTCCAACCATTCTTTTCAACCATCAATATTTTCAAAAAGCGATCGCCATTTTCTCCAAGGGTTTTGGGTGGTTTTCTGGAAAGAAGGATCCCTGGAAAGAATGGGGAAGGTACCCCTAGAACGTTATCATGTGTTTTCACTCTCCTGCCGCTTGATCAATAATTTGGGGGCCTGATGCTGGGAGCTTCAAACAACTCGAGCCCATTGTGGCCGTTTGGAGCTAATGTTTGATAATTTCCGCGATTTTGTTCAGCTCAAACAAAAAGCACGCTCAAGCGGACTAAGGCGAGGCTACTTCTTGAGCATGCTTAGCTCGACATATGGCTAGGCCGGGCTCCGGGCACGTGCCACCCAATCTTCCGCACACTTCACCTTTAAGCAGGTTGCAGGGATGGAAACTCTACTATATGTATCCGGGTGGGGTGAGTCGACAGAGCGGGCTCTGCAGCTACAAGTTGCTCGACTATGGCGCAGCGAAAATCTGCAAAATAACGTTGGTGAATGGAAGCGGGTTCCGGGGTTGATTTCTTTCACGCGCCCAACCCCAAACACTGGCATGGGGGTGGCGGTCAATCATGCACTCAAAAACAGCACCCGGATTGCGGCACCACGGCATTCTTAGAGCACTCTTTATCGCACAAATCGCAGCTGGATCGGACTCGGATTGCACCCAGATTGCGCCAAGATACAGCTAGCTTATGCAGCCCGGATCGCGGCCGGATCGCGCTATACTCGCCGGAATCAACCTAGGAACCGGCTTCTCCTGGCAACCAGCTGATTGGGCTCTCTGACGACCAATCTCCGTTTGGAAAGGCTGGCCGGGATCCGGCGTCTGCCTTCACGTCTGAAAGCATGGCTCCGCACGCAGTTCAGCGAAACCTGCCGAATTGTCATAGGCAAGGAGAGCCCCGATCCCGAGCACATCTTCGGCCCAGCTTGGAGGTGGCAAGCCATGTTCCGCGATCGGAGGGTTCCAGTGGGCCAATTGCGACTCCGGACGAAGGCCAAGCATCGCCTCAGAATATCCATGCCGGCCATGTCAAGCCGAAGCTCGGTACCCGCCAGCCTGCCACTGTCTCTTCGAGTTCGAAGCCGACACTGTCCTTCAAGAAGGCCGGCTGAAAGCTCCTGGCCATAGGTGTCTTTTTTGGTTGAAAATAGATGGCCCTGGTTGATTGAACCACCAGGTAAACCAGGGCCCTGTATTTTTCAACCCGATCAACCAAAAAGGACACCTATGCTCCCGGCAATGAGCGCAATGCCACGGCATCGCAGCACAGCAGGCTCCACACAAACTTGCGCTGATCGCCTCACGGGCTAAACTCGAACGCTACAAGAGCTGGAAGCTCTAGAACACCTGGGTGTGGCTCAAATTTAAACAGGAGGGGCAAACCGCAGGTTTTGGTCCATGTTTCCACTTACCAGGGCAACCCATTTTGGTACCGTTTTTGAGCCACTGCCACCTGGCAGGCGCAGCGCGCGGCCATAGCACCATGGGCCAAGCCATGGGCCGGGCGAAGCCGCCCGAACCGCTGGCGGATTCGGAGAAGCCCTACAAACCCAGGAGCCCGCTGTCCAGCCACAGGGGCCATCTTCGTGGGACTCGGACAGACTTTGGCTCGCCTCGGATCCAAGACGCACTCGAGGCAACGCCCAAAAACTCCTCTCGTGTCATCTGAGACGCCAAGCACGCAGAAATGCGCAGGGAACACACAAGAAATGCTGGTTCGCCAAATCCAGCTCTGGGGAAGTGATCTGGAACAAAGTTAAAGCCGGAATCCAACCCTTCCGGCCACTTTGACATCCGGACGGGTGCGTTGAGTTTGAGAAACATTCAAGTGGACTGGCGCTGGCCTGGTCCAGCG